TAACCCCCACTTAATTATAGTGTTTTATTCTTTTACATATTGCTGAATTCTATGAGTAAATATTTTGTTAAGGTTTTTATATCTGTGTTCATGAGGGATATTGGTCTGTAATTCTCTTTTTTTGTACTGCCTTTGTCTGTTTTTGGTATCAGGATAATCTTGCCTCACAAAATGAGTTGGGAGATGTTCCCTATTCTTGTTTTCTGGAAGAGATTGTGTAGGATTGGTGTTAACTCTTTTCTTTAACCATTTGGTAGAATTTTCCAGTGAAGCTATCTGGACCTGGAGACTTTTTTTTCCAGAAGTTTTAAAATTATGAAGCCAATTTCTGTGAGAGCTATATTCATATTATCTATTTCAAATTGGGTGAATTGTGGATAGTTTGTGAAATTGGTCAATTTCATCTAAGTTTTCACGTTTATGTTGTTTGTAGCATTCTCTTATCCTTTTGATGTCTGTGGGGTCTGTAGTGATATCCCCTGTTTTATTTCTGATATTTTTTGATATTTTATTCCTGATCATATGTATCTTCTTTTTTTTGTCAGACTTCCTAGGGGTTTGTCAATTTTATTGATCTTTTCAAAGAACCAGCTGTTTTTTTCACTGATTTTCTGTATATTTCTGATTTCAATTTAATTGATTTCTGCTCCTATCTTTATTATTTTCTGCCTTCTGTCCAACTCTACCCAGACAGCATAATGAAGCAAAGTGTGCTATTGTTGAAAAATACGTATAGTGTCAGTTCATTGCATTTTTCCACATGTGTATAAATAATCATTATGTAATTGTAGAAACTGACATTTAAAGAGATTACATCAAAAGGAATTCCCTCTGCAATAAGGTAGTGAGACTCATTGGTTTTTCTGGCTTGTGGCTTGTAGTATTACTCAATGGCCATGAATCACTTCTGTAACCCAGGTTCTTATTCTAAATCGATGCAGAAACTCCCTGAAATTTAGTGTGTTGTTTTGGCCCCTGTGACCTCAGTAGGATCAGTACCTACTTGTCCCTTATTTCTCCAGGCTGCTGAGAGAGTCCCTGAGGAGCTGTTAAGTAGCTGCTCAGAATTTGGAAGCCCTAAGGTAGCTCTTGGTGTTCCACCATAAATAATTAGGAGTTAGCTATGATTCTTAACCATGGCTAATTTCAGGTCTGTGTATAAAATAAAATTGACTATAACTACAAATCCAAAGCCAGGTCACTGCTTTCCATAAGCCCATTTTATCTTTTAAATTGGTGTTTTGTGATTGATATTTTAGAACATAATGGCAAAATGCTCAAATTGTTTTCTGTTAATGCACAGACTGCATACTATTTTTCTTAGTGTCTTGAGTAAGTATTGTCATTCACAAGTGACATAATTTTGGCAACTGAAAAAAAATGATCATGGGATTATTTCAGCAGATGAGCCTTGTATGTGTCCCGAGTGCATTGTGGCAGCATGGTAACTGTCCTCTTGGAGCCCCCAGCTTCAAGTGACACACACATGAAGTGGTGATGGTGGGTGGTGGTAAAATGGCCCACACCCAGGCAGCCAAATGAACAGGTAATCTTCACAGCCCAGAGTGCAGTAATGTAATCATTCAAGGACAAGTAAGAACACTCTGCTTGGTATAATCCTGTTAGACTGAGAATTTATAATAAAGCTCTTTGCAAGATAACAGAAGGAATGAAGGCTGGCAGAAGTCCTGAGCTCTTTATATAATAGCATTTGTAACTGGATATTTTAGAAGACGTTAAAGATGCCATCTTGTAATCAAAGGCAGTATCCTGTAAGATGAAGGGCTGGGGCTCTGGGGTCTAACAGCCTGAGTTGGGATATTGGCTCTACCATTTCTACCTTTGTGACCTTGGGCAACTTACTTCACCTCTAACCCTCGGTTTCCTCACCAATTAAATAGGGATGATCATAGTGTGAGGATAAAGTGTGATAAGAAATAAATGTGATGAAGAATTCTCTCCTTAAATGTATCATCTGGCACATGGTAAACACTTAGTATATTTTAACTGTTATATTATCATTACTAATCATAGTATTATGACTGCTATTATTGCTATTACTATTATTACTACTACTCAAGAGACAGAAAATCTTACATTAAATGAATCTAGCTTGTTTTCCTGGTATTTGTTATAATTTTTCGATGCTATAGTAACAGAGTCTGGTTTAAGTCACATTCTGAACATGTAACTAATTAAAAGTACCACTTAGGAAGCATCATGTTCTCACATGCATATTTCAGGGGATATTAGTAGCATGAGAATTTGGGCATTGTCTAGCACAGTGTTTCTCAACCTTTTACTCATTATTGTCCCCCTAAGGAGCCTTTACAATTTTTCCCCTATTTACCTCCTCCAGTGAAATGTTAATACCACAGATTTGCTATGTATCTGTTTATGTATTTTGGAGCTTTGGAAGGCTACAAACCATTGTAATATCTAAGTGAGTTTTTTTTTTTATCCTGTGGGAATCAATTTTCACATCCATTGAGGCGATATCACCCCCATTGAGAATACACAATTTAGTGTAGTTCTTTTCAGCTGAGGGCAACATTTGGCAATATCTGGAGACATTTTTGGTTGCCACAACCTGGGGGAGGGGTGTTGCTACTGGTGTCCTGTGGGTAGAAGCCAGGGGTGCTGCTAAACATCCTACAGTGCACAGGACAGCCCCCCTACAATAGAAAATGATCTGGCCCCAAAATAACAAATGCCATGGCAAGGATGTAGAAAAAACGGAACTCTCCTACATTGTTGGTGGGAACGTAAATTGGTACAGCCATTGTAGAAAACAGTGTGGAGGTTCCTCAGAGAACTAAAAGTAGAACTGCCTTATGATCCAGCTATCCCGCTACTGGGTATATACCCACAGGAAATGAAATGGATTATCAAAAAGACACCTGCACTCCCATGTTCATTATAACACTATTCACAATAGCCAAGAGATGGAATCAACCTAAATGCCTATCAGTAGATGAATGGATAAAAAAAAAACTGTGGTATATATACATAATGGAATACTATTCATCTATAAAAAATAAAATCCTGTAATTTGCAGCAGCATGGATGGAACTGGAGACCATGTTAAGTGAAGTAAGACAAGCACAGAAAGGCAAATACCATATAATCTCATTCATATGTGGAATCTAAAGAAAAAAAAAAGTAGTCTCATAGAAGCAGAGAGTAGAATAATGGTTACCAGAGGTCAGAAGGGGAAAGGGGTAGGGGGAGGAGAAATGGTGAACTAACGGCTATAAGCTCTCTACCCTAAGTGATTTATTGTGCAGTATATGTATACACATGTATTGAAGCAACACACTATACTCCACAAATATTAAGTAAATGTTAAAAAGAAAATCTTGATGGGCCAGTGAAGGAAGAGAGGGGGTGGCTCTTATCTCGGGCATCTAAGTAGGTCTTAGATAGTCTTGATTTTGAATTTGATGGGTGAGAAGGCAAAAGAGCACACTTCAAAGTAATGTATTCTGCTGAATTTGGTTTAGGGCCCTAAAGCCCAGAGGAAGTCAGTGGGACTTTCTCAGGAAGTTTCTGCCTTCCATATTTCTCCAGCTAGGTAGTATGGACTCTAATCTAACAGGTGCTAAAAAGGAATGAAGCCAGTTATCCTTCTGCCCCATCTGTAGGGCATTTCTTAAGAGTGTCTCTGGAAAGAAGGTCCATCTTGAAAACAACCACAGCCACAGTCACAACCATAACTTTGAAACAAGGGATTCAAAGCTATAGATAGTCAAAGTATTGTCTGAAATCTTCATAAGATGAAGATGAATGTGCTTTTGCCTTTTCTCTTTCTTTCCTTTTTGTACATGTGGGTCTGTCCCACTCATTCTCTCTCTGCATCTACCAGCACTGCCAACATTTCTTTCTGAGGACCTATCATAGACATGGGTATATAATAACGTCAGGCAGACAGGGAGATATCTGCTCTTCCAACTGTTACATGTGCAGGAGGGCAATAAAAAACCTGATCATCAGAGCTACTCTTTATTAAATGTTCCGCATGCTCTGGGAAGGACACGTAACTTGTCTCTTTTTTAAAAAGTATTATTTTTAACTGACATGTAATAATTGTGTATGTTTGTGGAGTACAGAGTGATATTTTGATACATGTATACAATGCATAATGATCAGGTTGGTAATTAGCATATCCATCACCTCAAATGTTTATCGTTTCTTTGTGTTAAAAACATTTGAAATCCTATTTTCTAGCTATATGAAAAATATACAATAAATTATTGCTCATTATAGTCACCCTAAAAAAACAAAAAAGAAAAATATCTGACCCAAAATGTCAATAGTGCCAAGTTTGCAAAACTCTGCTGTAGCATGATGGTAAAGTCCAAATGCACTCTGAGTAACCCTGAAATCATTAAGGAAGGTGAAAGTGGACCATGTCAACTCAGAGACCACAAGCTGAAGAGAATAGCAGAAATTGGTTTCCTGACCTTCAGGTTGAACCTGCGGACAATGTGGTTTGCTTGTCTAGAAAAAAAGGCCATCTTTGTCTTCTTAAGCATTGTTGCTGTTTTTCAATAATATTTTGCTTTTTGCTCTTTCTGTAAAATATGTGTAAAAATACGTGTAAACACTTCAAATATGTGTTTAGTAACAGTTGTTTTCTATTTTGTGTATGGATGTGTCTTGCTTTATGAAACAGAGGAATTGTAAAAGTTGTATAAATTCATTTTCTATGAGGTGCATTTATTCCTCTGATTTCATTACGTTATATTTTGAGAGGCTTATCTTCACTCCTAATTAATCCTCATTTGACCTGGCTCCAAACATGGTCGCTTTAAATGGAAATTTAGCAGCCTTTCTGCTTCTCTGCGTTTTTGAGAATGGGGACAGTTTAGGAAAAGGTCTGGATTTATGTTGAAAGTGAGATGCCTATTCTTTCATGGACATGGTCCAGGTCATGTGCCCAGAGCTCCTGGCTCCCTGTTGTCCCTGTCACACTCACGTTCCCTTCTTCTGCTGACCAGAGTTGGAGTCGAGGAGCCCTCTGAAGAGGACCAGAATGAACAACGCTGGCAGTACATCAGGTGACACAAGGGCATCCTCAGAAACAAATTAACCGGGCCTGGCTTTTCTCCTCTTTCTAACCTGAGAGATCTCTCTATATGCTACTTGTCTCTTCCTTCCTACAGGTGCCAACCCCTACCCCTTTTAGCAAAGGGCGAGGTTAAGTTAATTCTAATGATGTTTTTCACCCTTTCTCTGGGTTGATTGATGTGTCAGTGTTCCTGGGATTCTGTTCCCTTGCCCCACATGTTGCACGATGTATGTCACCACCAAAGCCTGAGTTGGCAAGTGTCTCCTTTTTGTACAACTGAGCTTAGTGTCAAGAGCAGCTCATTTTCAGAGCCACAGACACTTTTCCCACAAAAGCCTGCTTACGATCTAGTAGATAAGGCTTTTAACTCATAAACAGAACTAGAATTTCATGCTTCAGACATGACTGGAGTATGGCTTATACTATCTTAATTAAATACCAATGCTGTGGTTTTTTAAAGTATATATTTATGTACTTGTACCTTATCATGGTGAATCATGAGATATGAAGAACATTTTTTAATCAAAAGGATGAAGATTCCTCTGATGTAATTTGTTAGTGTCCATCCAAGTTTATAATATAATTATGCTTAAGGGTGGTGATGTTGGGGCAAACAGAGTAAAAACTTTAATGTTTCTTCTTTCCTTTCTATATCTCTGATTGGCACGCTTTCTTCTTGATCTGGATCTCGGTTTCAGTAGATAAATCAAATGCAACATAGGCCTGAACTCTGTTCTTAGCATTGTGAAAATATTTCACTCCTTGAGGGCAGCAGTGAAAGCAGTGATACCTGTAATAGGGCATGGGTCCTGAGATATCACCAGTCTCCGCATGTACACTGTAATGACACGCATGAAATTTAATTGAAGTATTTAAATTCACTGGGTTCGCACTTTTTTCTAACTGTTTAAAACACACACACACACACACACAAACATACACTAAAAAGTTCATTTTTGGAGACCTGACTTTAGGTACCAGTTAAGTTGCAGAGGAAACCTTTTCCTTTGAAGCATCTCATCTTCAAGAAGGAAGGTCCTCTAGGCAAAATGTATGTTACTACACTTGGGACATGAGAGAATTCAGATTATGATCTGGTGTTCAAGGTTTCATATGAAAGTATGTGTCTTGTGTCTCATATACCTCAAGTTACTCAGAACCTTGACCATTCAGATTTTTTTAAATTACCAAAGTAGAACACTTCTAAAAGTTTCTGAGATTTCATGGCATTTTATCTGTTAAGCAGAATGGATGTATTATTATACCAGATGGGAAGTTATTAATTCTAAGTATTTATTCATTCCAGAATGAGCACATCAATTTGCTTTATTTTCTCACTTGGTGTGGGATTTCCACATTTGTCTCATTCTTAATGAAAGTAAGTATAATTCAGTTCATTCTGGAAGAAAAGACTGTTGTGTGTGCTCTGATGAGCTCAGCCCTGATGTATCAGGGGAATGCTAAAATATGATATAATAAAACAGCACAAAAAGTTCCAGATTTATATGGTGTCCTGGATCAAAAGCATTATAGCAGGTCAGGGAAGAAATATATATTGTGGACAGTTGTCCGAAACTAGGAATTTCAGAAAGTTAGGGGATCAAGTCAAGTTTTCTGAAGCTGTAAATCTGTAATTAAAATGCTGTGCCTATGATTTCTTGCTGCCCAGCACCACACCAAACCTCTGGCCTATTGGCTTTACTTCCTGTTCCAAGAGATCAGTTTGGTTCTGGGCTCTGCCCCAAAGGTGGGGCCCTTTGTAGGGAGCCACAGGGTCCAATGTCATCCTTGGGGATTGGTCCAAGGGGCTTCAGCCCTGCCAGAAAAGTAATTATTAAATCACCCTAAAGTAAACAGCCTTGAAAGGGGAAAGAAATTGCAGAAGAACATTACTTATGTCTCATGACCCCTGGTCTGTTTTCTTTTGGCATTTAAAAAGCGGTAGCAAGCTGGGAAGCAGGGCTTCATTTCCTTTCTTGGAAATCTCCTATTCAGTACTTACACCAGTAGCGAGGACCTCCAGGAGACCCCAAGAGGCCTTCCCACATTCCTCTGTCTGTGGGAGGGCCCAGGAGGTCCTTTTAGGCTCTGTGCTGTCAAGAGTTTGGGCTGCATCTCAGACAGGTGGTTGATAGCAAGTGGCTGCAGCGAAGGTTGTAGCTTCCATGTAGAATGGTGGTAAAAGCAAGGAAAAGGGGGCCTTGGAGAGGACTGTCCTCAGGGCTACAGATTTCTGGGGGATGCACATAGCCAGATCTGAACATGGCTGCATCACTTGGCATTTTATTGACCACATATGTGTCAGTTAACTAGCATTTTTCTCCTTGTTCTTGACTTTTGGAAGGGGAATTTCAACAAAACATTCCAGGATTTATCTAGAAAAGAAAACCACATGATTACTAGAATCTTTATCTACCTATTTATCTATTATGTATATTTACCTATTATAACACCCTATGTTCATGAATCTTTACAATATGTAATTTTCAGACCCTGCAATAATATGAGATCTTGAATCATCAATATTAGTAGATTTGATTAAATTAGAGAGACCAGAAAATAGACTGATGTGTTTTTGAAACATTTTTACCAAATATGTAATTATTTTTTTTTAATTGTGAAAAATTTTAAATTGGCTAAAAAGTTGAAAGAATAGAACAACGAGTACCCAAGTACTAACCTGGATTCACCAATTGTTAACATTGAGTCATATTGTGACCTTTAACTTTCTCTCTCTCAACCATTTGAAAATACTTCAAAGTACATTGCAGACATTGTGACTTTCCACCCCTAAATACTTCAGAATGTATCTCCTGGGAATCTAGTCTCTTACATAATCATGATACCTTTATCACACCTGAGGAAAGTAATGTGAATTTTACACACAAACACACACACACACACAGGTCCAGGATCCACTCAGTGTTTACTTTGGTTGTCCCATCTCTTTTAATGTAAAACAACCCCCCCAACCCCCCTTTTGTGGTCTCTTATGGCATTGAGGTTTGGGTTTTTTTCTTCTTTTTTTTTAGTATTCAGGATAGTTGTCTTACAGTGTGTCCCACAATCTGGCTTTTTCTGATTTGTTTTCCTTGTGACCAGAGATAGATAATCATTTTTGCCAAAAACACTGTAAGAGTGAGGTTATACATTTCTTATTGCATGCTATCAGGTGGCGCATATTGTCAGGCTGCCCCTTTATTAGTGATGTTACATTTGATCACTTGGTTAAGGTAGTGACCCCCGGTCTCTCTACTGTAAAAGTACCATTTTCTCTTTGTAATCTGTAGAATGATCCTTTGACATCGTGTGAATGGCCAGATTCCTAACAACTTCTTACCCTGTGGTAAAAGCATTCACTGATCTTTGCTTGAAACAATTATTACACTGGGGTGGAAAATGGTGATTTTCTAATTCTGTCAATTCCTTTTATGTTTATAAGATGACATTTATATGAAAGAAGAGCTTTCAGAGGGTTTTAAAATTTATTTTATATACTGAAGCGAGGAATCTCTATTATCTAAATGTAAATAATCAGTTCAAGCAAAGTTTTACTTAATATTTATGGGACTTGAAGTTGTGTGTCTGCAGGATCCCAGCAGAATCTAGGGTGTTAACATTGAGAGAGCAAAAAGTTAGCAGATGGTTGTCACTTTTTTAGTAAAGAAAAAAATGATGCTAGAGAAAAAACATGGCTGGAATTAGTACTTTCTAGAATCTGTACTGTTCAATTCAGTAGCCACTAGCCATATGTGGCAATTTAAATTTAAATTAGCTAAAACTAAAGTGTAAAATGCAGTTCTTCGGTCATACTAGCCACATTTCAGGGGCTCAGTAGCCACGTGTGGCTAGTGGTTATCATATTAGAGCAGATAGAGGACATTTCCATTATTGCAAAAGTCCTGTTGGACACTGTGGATCTAGAATCACTCTCAAGTTCCTCCAGAACAGAGTGGGGAACCTCACGGGTTGGGGATGAGGTTAAGGTGGCCCTAATTTCGTGAGTTTGTCAAGTTATTCCAACATTTTGTTATGTTTGTTTTGTTTTGGGTTTTGTTATTTTGATTTCTGGCCTGGCCACGTGGGCCCAGGATGAATGGATGAGTTCCACTTTCCAGGAGTTGAATGAAAATAGTCGAACCTAGTCTTTATAAGCAGTTCTTGTTAAACAGAATTTATTTTCTTGTTAAACAGATTTTTTTTCTCCTAGTAGAGGTTAATTAAAAGAACAGAGGGGACTAAATTTCATGTGGCAGCTTTTACTATATTTGACTTTATCTTCCTTGTTGTAATATAGGGCACACTTAAGCCTTTTTCTCCTGTCTCTAGGCTTCCTGTTTCATCTGGGCTGATAAAGTTAGTTTGACTTATCTTTACTGACATGGAAGCCACTGACCAAAGCTAATACACCTCTTTCAGAATTCACAATGCAGAAAGGAGAGATTACTAGCAGCAGATCTGAACTGCCACATTCTTGGCCATCCTGCACTTTTATGCCCTTCAACAGTGCCTCTGTGCTTAGGCTGAGGGCAGCCATGTCACGTTCTGGTAGGCTGTCTGAGCGATGCTGGGGTCACCACTGCCCTGCCCCTCTGAGTCTCTCATCTTAAGTGAATTAGTCTGGCACGAAGTGGCTTTGTGCTGCTGAAGAATGCACAGAGTGAGGCCTAATTTTGGATTCTTAGCTGTTGACCTTACAAATGCTGACAAAACGACCACATAGAGGATTTTTCTGTATGTAATTAATGTACATCGAGAAACTCTAAAAACAGGTGAGGGTTAATGATTAACAGCCAGGAGTTCAATATGCTACCTCTCCTCTACCACTTTTGTACATTTGATACTCTGTGTGCACTGGGGCTTTGGTGTGACTTTTGTGGGCAGCCCTCGATCAGATGGTTTTCATGTCAAAAGATCGCCGTGAGATTTGTTGCTCAAAGGTCCCCACATAATGTCCAGTCATGAGAACAAGCTTCCACCTCTCAGAAACCCCTGCCTGGAGGTAGCCTCTAGACACATAGCATAGTCCATCTAATTCAATATAAAGATCCCATCAAACCCCAGCCCACAGGGAGGAAATCTGGTGCCAGGCCCACTACAGATTTTAACTAAGTGCTCGGAACAGTGGCTAGCATAGTAGGTACTCAGTAAATATTTGCTGAATATGTGAAGTCATGCAGTTTTAAACTTGCCTTCAGTACAATGTGGGGTCATTGTTCCCTTTTCTTTTCTATCCCCTGATTCCAGAGGCACATACCTTGGGTTAGTGCTCAACAAACCTGGAATAAGACAGAGTAGAGGTTGGCTTTGAGAGGGTGGGTGTACCTGTGTTGTCTTCTATCCCCCTTTTCCATTAATCTGCTTTCTCAGGAAAGGTCCTGGGCATCACGGTGGGGGAGAGTAAGGGAGAGGAGGAAAAGTATGTGCGTGCATTCACATGGAGCTTTGTGCGTCCAATGTCTGCTTATTGGAGTCAACGCCCTGGTAGAGCCTATTCGGCACCTCTCAAGCTCAAATCAGACCTAATCTGCTGAAAGCTCTATTCTTGGTTTACCTTTAATGACACTATCAATTCTTTGCAACACTGGGGGGACTGAAGGGAGATAATAGGATTTTCCTGGTATCTTTGTTTTCTCCCTCGTTGCTCCATGGTTTCCTCATCATCCATGTCACAGTTCTGACTCTGAATGAGGAAGATACAGGAATACAAAAAATTAACAGATGCATAGAGGAACAGTTGCTGTTACTAAGCCAAGATAATTGCCCTCGTGCTTTTATGGAAGTTGTTATAGGTGGACTTTGCCACTTTGCTTTTTCTTTGTCTTCAGTTGTTGCTCTCAAATGTGTGAGTTCTCAGGTCATTTTTGATGGAGGAAGGTGTGTGTGGGGGGCACCAGAATTGAAAGCAGGTCAGGAATCTAGTTAATGATATTGTTAAAGAAAACACTATTCTGACACTTGTTAAAACAGTAAGGCCAACTTTTTCAGGACCATCTTGATTGGTATAGGGACTACCAAGATGGGGTTTTGCAGTAGGGGAGAGAGATAGGAGTCAATGGATCGAAAATGTCTAGGAAGAGGAAACACCAGGGATAAAGGAGATTCTGACTAAACCAACCTAATAGGATTCTTGCTGAAGACAAGCCAGGGTGATCGGACGCCACCTGGGGGATGTTGGAGGATGAGGAACCTGATCAGATATTGAGGGGGATCAGATGTCAAGGATTGGGGACTCTGGCTATACCAACTTAGCAAGATTCTTCCTAAAATTGGGCGGTGCAAAGACAAACATGGAAGCCCAAAAGTCAGGGCCTAGTTGGGAAGAGGATTCAGAAGAGCCTGACTAAAGTTTGGTCAAGTAGAGATTCTATCAATATATATGCTGAAGTATTTGGGGCAAGTGTACTGATGTCTGCAACTTTATTTGAATGCATCCAGAAAATAAGATGGGTGATAGAGAAATGGACAGATGGGTAATAAGAAAATACAGTAAAACATTTATGGTAGAATCTAGTGGTGGTGGGTACACAGGTGTTCACTGTAAAAGTTTTCAACACTTCCCTGCATATTTGAAGCATTTCATAACAAAATGCTAGGGAAATAAGCAGGTTAGGGAGGAAGTGAGGGCAGAGAGGAAGGGCCCAGTGCAGCGGGACCCATGTTTTGATCACTGGGACCTCCTGGTGCAGGAAGGCAGATGGGCAGTTGCCAGCATGTGCCGTTTTCTAGAGGTCTCACTTAGGGCAGGATCACGCAGGATTTATCACCCCTCCGAGCCTCTGGGATCTGATGTGGTATGCAACCTCTTTCTCGTGACTTCTGCATGACAGTCTTCCTCTCCTTTTAGCTAACCACTCCTTCTGCTTCGTGATGATGGTCAGCCTCCTGCTCTTTTCAGCTGGCGTGGCTGCCATGGGCCAAGCTAATACTTTCTGTTTTTCTCCTTGTCTTTCTCCCTGGTGACTTTTAGAGTTGGTGTTGACCCAGATCAAGACCCACCACCCAACAACGACAGCTTTCAAGTCTTACAAGGGGTAAGTCTCAAGAGGTGCTTCTTCCCAGGAAAGACATGATTAAAAATAGCTAACATGTACTGAGCATTTGCTACATGCCAGGCATTTTCCTGGATTCCCTTATCGTGATCTTGATGACAACCTTTTGAGGTGAGTACTGTTATCCCCATTTTACAGATTAGAAGCTGAAATTTGAAAATTTTAAGTGAAGTCATCTAAACTTAGAGAATTAGAAAGTGATGGAGTCAGGATAAATCCAGAGTCTGTGTTCTCAAACTGCATCTGAAGGGGGTGGGCTGGCCAGAAGAGTGTTTAGGCTCCGTCCCTGACTCCCTAGTTTCTAAGAATGGATATATTGGTTCTGTAACTGGGTCTATCAGTGGTGCCCGGGAAGGGAAAGGAGAGAGATGTGATATGGCTCTCCAGCCCAGGGAATCCGAGGAAGAGACGTTGGGTGACTGCAGGCACTCCTGTTCCTCCAGGGCCTGGGGTCAGGTATTTGGAAAGGGCATAGTAGGGACAGCTTTCCTTTGCTCCATGAAGTCCAGGGCCTCAAATGGGAAAACTGGGAGGCTGGTGGTGACTCAACAGCTGGGGGTCGGAAGAATCCAAAGGCTCACATGTCACTCATATGTCTGGCACCTTGGCTGGGAGGACAGAAAGGCTACAAGTGCCAACTGGAGCGCCCCCACTTGGCCTCTCCACGTGGCCTGAGCTGCCTCCCAGTATGGTGGCCTCAGGGTACTCGGACTTCTTTCATGATAGCTCAGGGTTCCAAAAGTGAGTGTCCCAGCAAGCAGGGTGGAAGCTACGTTGCCTTTTCTGACCTAGTCTTGGAAGTTTCACAGCATCACTTCTATAGCTTTCTGTTGGTCAGGAATGCATTCCTAGGGCCAGCCCAGATTAGATTCAACAGGAGGGAATAGAGACCAGAACCTCAGGTTGAGAAGTGTGTCTACAAGTTTGCAGACATTTTTTAAAACTTTCATGTCATCCCTGTTGTGTGGCTGTCAGGAAGATTTTGTCTCCGGGTTTTACTCCTTTCCCAGGCTGGAGTGTCCTGAGCAGGCAAGACAAGGAAAGGAGAGATGATAGGAGTAGAAATGTGTTACCAAAATATTATTATTTGGCCTTGGGAGTCAAGAACTATTTAGTTCAGCATTGAATACCCAGTGCTGAGCACAGTGCCTGACACTTGGGGGAGCTCAGTAGGTATTTGATGGGTGGCTGGGGGAGGGAGGGATGCAGCACACCGCAGGTAGCTTCACTGACCACATACATGCTTGTGTTGTTTGTGAAGCCATGCAGAGGGTTTCTTTTTTGTCTGGTCAGCTTTGAATTGCACTCATCATTGCACTTAATCCTAAAACCAGTCTGCATACTTCGGATTAGATAGGGTCTTCTAAATGATTCCACCTACTAAATCATATTTAACAAGTCTCATAATATTTAACAAGTCTCACTATAGCTTTTTCTGATTTCTTTCTCTTTGAAGATGGTCACAGCCTGATAAGGCATTTGTGGTGTTGATGCCCATTCCAGGTCCCAGCTTAAGGGATATAAAGCCATGACTTCTGAAAGTCCTGGGCATTTTGGGAGGAGTTTTCAATGAGCTTCAATGGAGATTTGGTGCCCACTTTAATGAAGCTCCAGAAGGCCTTTGAGATTATATTAGAATTGGTCATTGTGCCAATTGGAAACATGTGGTTTCAATGAGAAGTTCTTTTTGAAAATTTGCTATTTGACTCTAGCTTTGATTAAGGATTTTAGAAAACAGGGGTTTGGGACCTGTGCACCTGGAAACTAATTTAGAGTATAACAGTTCGGGAGATCTTGAAATTCACTCTGAGAAAACCCGGTGGGGATACATGGTGGATGTCTTCATTTCATTCAAAGGAAAATAATGGCTCTGGTTGGATATGGCTGCCTTATTCCAAAGCATCCTCCAGCAAACTGTAGCCAGTCAAGATTAATTTCATAAGAAAAACAGGCTAGTAGCAGCTGGATGGCCAGGATTTGGAGAGTTATCATATTGACAATTCCAAACCAGTCAAAATATCCCCAGCTCTTTTGTTATTTCCCATTGCTCCTACCTTTGAATTCAAGCATCTGTATAAGGAAATAGTGAAATGGTTTGGTTGGTTTCATGTAGTGGAACTTATACATCTTGTAAGACCAACACACTGGAAACTCTGGGCTTGTAATTAGACTTAGTAACATACTTGCTGTTACTTTTCCATGGAAATGTTTGAGAAAGTAGCGGGTCCTGAGTGCTAAGGGTTCTGGCATTTAATTCATGCAGTAACAGCTAAAATATGAGGGTGAGCCTCAGGAACCCCCGTGGATGGGTCTGTACTGGTAACCTCAGTGTTTCCGTTGGCTCCCAGAGGGCCCAATGGCCGAGAGCACTGAGCATTTGGCATTGTGAAGGGGCTGGCAGTGACTTCTGCTGTGCTCCTAATGGCACCCTGTTTGCCAGCCCTAGCCAAGAGCTGTGTCACAGCTTCCCCCGACCTACTTCCCTCCAAGCCTCACACAGTCATGCAGGGGGGCCCTCAAAATCAGTCCCACTGACCTTTTGAAAGGCTTTCAAGATTGCTGTCAGACTGGGAAAAACAGGCAAACTTCAGGCTTGGTTCCCCAGGACACCCTCTTAGAAATGACTCATTCCCTTGTGCAGAAAGGGCCTTATTTCTCCAAATCCTCCTGGCCTGACCTTGTTTCAGTGAGCCACTAACAGCAGGGCTGGGAGCACTCACTGGTCATGAGAAATAGGAACACAGAGAAATAAATGGGCTTCTCATTTTTGGGTGAAACCCTGGATTCTTGCAGTTTCCTCTGAAATACATCCAGGTCACATGCTCCATGTTGTCATGAAACTACAGTCAGAGGTGGGGAAAGCCCAGATGTTTGTTCTCCACTAGAAAAGAAAGGACACTTCTCCTTACCTCATTTTCTAAATGATCTTCCTAAAACAACAATAAAAAACCAAAAAAGTGATATTTGATGGGAAAGCATTTCTTATAATGAGCACAACTTTCCTCACTGGTTCTAGAAGTGCAAGGTTATAAACAGAGTCATGGCTACAGAGCTACAGAGTATTAGCTCATGTGGGAGAAGGAACAGAGCTGTTGGCTAGCACTTTTGGCTTTATGTGAGGGAAGCATAAGAATATTGTGGGCAGATTTCAGCTTTGTGTCCCTGGCAAGTTCGACTCACTAAAACAAAACAAGACAAACTCAGTTGCTTTGTTTCTCCGGAGGTCTTGGTGACTTTGAAACCAAAACAAAAGCCCAGCTGGAGGCAAGCTGCCCAGCCCAGGGCTGGCCTCCTACCCCATTAAAGGGAGGACTTTCATGCCAGCCCAGACACAGCTGAGATTTCTGTTGGCCAGACATGGAGACACATCATTCACTTCCTTCCCCAATTTTACAGAAGAGCACTCGTTGATGAGGCTGCTTGGAGCAGCTAAGAGCATGAATCTGAATTTATCCCAGCCCTATATCAGCAGGACAAGGTCACAGGCCGGATATTAATTGAATATGGAGGAAAGGAATCCACAGGTCCTGCCTATGTGTATGTGTGGAGTGAAAACTAGAAAATCAGCTGTTTATAGTTGCATTGACATATGGCTTTCTGAGCACGTTGGAGTCCTTAATTTCTGGTCCTCCTCTGGTTTTCCTCCAGGCTGAAATCTGATACCCAGTTGCCTCAGTCTTTAACTTCAAACAGTTGCAGAGGTGCCTTTCCTCAAATTGCTACTCTCTCACCCTCCTGCCCCCAAGGTTTTTCTTTTTGTTCTTCTGTTTGTGCTTGGCCCCTTGATTTCCCTTTCTGCTATTCTTTTTTGTTTCCTAGAAGCCCAGAGTCAGTATTAATCTACGCATCCATTTGATGAATATTCATTGAACACCTGTTCTACTTCAGGCTCTGGGAATACATCTGCAACAGGATGGATGCATCTCCATCTGAGGGGCTTGGTGACAATGTGATGAAGGTGGAGAGTGGCAGAAGTGAGGGTGGGGGGGCCTTGTCTGCTCTTCCCCTAGGGAGCATAGACCTGTCCTTGCTGCTGCCTTGGACCAGCAGTCTGGGCGTCACCAGAGAGCTTATGAGAAATGCAGACTCTCAGGCCTCACCCAGTCCCACTGAAGCAGAATCTGCATTTCAACAATACCCCCAGGGCATTTGTGTGCACTTTACAATTTGAGAGGCCCTGGGCTAGGCAATGTGGACCTCTGGGGAGAATTTTAGCAGGGAAGGACTGACTGTCGGAGACTTGATTCCTTGCTTTTAAACCCCCCTGCTGAGAAATCTTGGGCCCATCCATCCCAATGGCATGAAAAGGGCCCATTACTCTTCTGCTACTTGTTAGTTTTCTGTGGCTGCTGTAACAAATTACCGCAAACCTAGTGGCTTAAAATAACACAGTTTTATTATCTTACAGTTCAGCAGGCCAGAAGTCTGGTGGGCTGGGCTGGTTTCTCTCCTTCAAGTCTCGTCAGGCTGAAATCAAGGTGTCGACAGGGCCAGGCACTGGGAGAGAAGCCACTTCCAGTCTCCTTTGGGTTGCTGGTAGAATTTAGTTCCGTGCAGTTGTAGGACTGAAGTCCTGTCTTGCTGGCTGTTGGCTAGAGGTCATGCTCAACTCCTAGAAGCCATCTGCATTTCCTGGCTCGTGGCCCCCTCCATATTCAAAGCCAGCAACAGTAGGGCAAGTCCTTGTCACACTCTGAATGTCTCCTGCCTCTTCTTGCACTGCGTCTCTCTGGCTCTTGCCCTCCTCGTCCACCCGCCTCCCCCTAGTACCAACAAAATCCTTTTAATCTTTTGGCAAAATAACCTCTGCTTCACAATATCAAGACTTTAGTCTCCTATACAACTTTTTACAGTGTCACAGCAGAGAACAAGGACTGTCCTGTGCATGACTGTAAAAACCAAACCAAACTTTATTATAGCAATCATGTGAATACTACAATTAAAAAAAATCAAACACTACTTACCCCACTGGAAAAAAAGGA